CAGAAATGAAATGTGCTTGCATATTCGATAAGAATTTAATCAAGCTGCTTTGATATGATGCTGCAAGCACCACCAGCCCAAACTGCAGGTATTTATGTCCTTGCGTCGTGCGCTTTATGGCTGTGGACCGAAACCGGCATCTTTTACGTAATTTCATACGCAATTCGTGAGCGATCAGTGTTTCCTCGGTGCATAATATTGTTTAGATACACCTGAGTGCCCAGATGATCAGCATTATAACGATGTTTTTATGTGGGCGGATAGCAAATATCCGCAGCGTGCGCCCAACGAAACATGTGCTAGAAATCTCCCGAATCCAGTTGTGACAAGGCTGACACGATTCATGCGAGTCATTGTCATGAACTGTGATGTGCTATGTCCCAGTGCTGCCGTCCAAAGTTAAACCCCCATATGCTAATCTTTGGACGTTTCGCGTTTTTATGTCGTCTGATTCGTGTACTCATGCCGAATTTGGTGATCAAAACCACTAGTGCAAATTTTCACAAGCTTTTAGTCCTTTTTTAGCCAAAAGCTTGTGCAAATCCCAACTGTTGGTTTGAATATCTTAATTCAGCAGGAGAAGACCAATCAGATGACATAAAAACGCAAAATGGCCAGAAATAAATATATGGGTAGTATGACCAGAAAAAAACCTTTGGACGGCAGTATAGCTCTGCGATTGTATGAGAATGTTGTGTGAGGGTGAACAGAATAGGTAAGTGAGCAGGCGTTGGCGGCTAAGAAACGTCATACCTTGTTTGGCTTTATTGTTGCGTGTGCATCTGTGCTTTCGGAAGCTGTCGGTATGCTGTCGGGATGTCGGAACCGCTGTCATTGCACCAAAGTTCATTACCATCCGCCTCCATGCATGTGTACATAAGTTGTGTGCTAGTTATGAAACTTCGGAGAGCATGTCATCGCTGTTTCTTGTTTAGACGTGTTACGCCCAGGCCGTGCTTTCTGTTCATGAACTACACATACGAAATGGATTTCCCACATGGCCTCGACCATATATAACAAAATTATCGAGAAATTCGAAAAACGATGTTTGCTTCATGTAACTGTCCTTGACTATATTCTCACTGACCTTCAATTGAAAATTCAAATTTAGTACAATGCAGGGCAACTGTTTCAAAGACGTTGAGATCAAATGACCTTGAATGCCTGTCGGCCGCGTGTCCTGCGGGCGTCGAGCACAGGGCCGTCACTTCGGGGAAGGGGTGGGACCGAAGATGTATTCGCCCTAACCCGGGGTCCGAGCCGCGGGGACAGCGGTCCGCAGGGCGGCCAGCTGACAGATGACAGAGGGGGTCAGCTCGGCAACAGCCGGTCCTCCCTTACACCGGTGCGGCAAAAAGCATGACCATTTGCTTTTCTGTATGAGAGAAATGTCAGATGAAAAAATGTCGAAAACTAAATGACCATTAAATTACCTGAGTGCTGGACTGGAGGCACCCACAAGCAGTGAGCTTTGCTCGGAAAACTCGCTGAACTCAATGCGACTGTTGCGACGCATTCAGAATAGCTTAATGTAGATACGAAGGGGGCACGAAACACTTAGCCACATTCGTAATTCGGTTTTTTCTCTATACAAAGTCTCTGAGATAAGGATGCGTCAGGGCGATATGAACACTAAAGATTTTACGTGGCGCTACCTAGTCAAGAAATATTACGATGGTATTTCACTGAAACGATTGGATGGGTGCATACGGACGCAAACGAACAATAATGAGATTTAACCACTGCTAGAAACTTTATTCTCGCATATCTAGCCAGCATTCATGTAACATAATAGCCGACAGAGACGAATCACGCCGGGAGTGCGTTGCCGTGCTTGTTCTTCATTTTGTCAGTTACTTTAATTAGTCGCGCCCTTGGATATCAAACTCGCATTCAAGTTTTGCCTTTGAAAATTGCGTCAGAACTGCAGCGAAACCGAAAATGGCATGAGTACATTAGTGTTGTAGCGGGGTAACGGGACCCGAAATTAATGCGTAAAATTCAGAAAAAACGGGTCGGTTACGCAGACAATAACGGGCATGTCCAAGAGGTTAACTCCAGCGGCATAACTGTTCCGACATGTGCGTTTTCCAAATGATCTAAATCCTGGCGCCACTTCTGAGTGAAATCCTGCTCTGGCCTAACCCTTTACCTGAGAGCAACAAATTGCATGTCCGTCATGTCAGCGTCGTTATTGTACTCGAATTCAGTGTGGAGTTAACGTTTCCAAAGCTTGCTTTCAAGGTAAAACCTTTTCAGGTATTCACGAATCTGCAGTCTCTCTTCTGTATTTTTCTCCTCAGGTCAATAAAGGGTAAAAGCCTGGGCACTCTGGAATTCTTCCGTTGATCAAAGAAATCCAACAAAACGGTCATCATACTGATTCCCGTGAAGCCCATTCCCGTCACACTTACAGAAACTCAGTCGCAAATAAATGGTCAAAATCATATAAAATAGGAAACCCTTACACTTCTTCGCTCATGATGAAATTGCAGCAAAAAGGGTGTCATATCAGTGTTTGCGAAGTCCTCCTTCTTCGCACCTGCATAGCTTTGCCTTTAAAGTCAAGGGCCAAGGTCACATAAAAAGTGGCATCCATTTCACGCAGAAATGCGACGAAAGAGATGTCAAAGGGATGTTTGTCACGCCTGCCTTCCTTGCATCTGCGAAAGCTCTCAAGGTCAAAGTTAAAGGTAATAAAAATGTGGTACCCTGACATGGTTCGCTAGCCGAAGAAATAAAATGAAATGGGTGGCATGATGACAACCGTGGTTTCCGCCTTCATAACACAAAGGGCAACAGTCAAGGGCATTGTATAACGGCACAAAATAACTTTCATAGAGGTGCTCGGGGCGTCCACTTTCATGACAAGAACAATAACTCAAGATCAAATGTCAAGCTCACACAAAAAGCGACAACTCGGCATTAATTCGTTTCATCAAGAAATACGATGCAACGGGTACATATTAATACTTAATGCCTGCCTTGTCAACAAATGCAAAAACTATCTTTCTATGTTAAAGGTCAAGGTCACACAAAACACAGCGCACTGGAATATATTCTTTAACCAAAAATACCACAAAAATCTGCAATACTGATGCATGTGGTGTTGGCTTTCGTCATATATGAAAGGTAATCATCAGATTCAGGGCCAAGGTCACAAAAACGCGATAAATTGATATATGTTCACTTAAAAACAAATAGCAACAACATGTTTACCATTGAGATGTCTGTGATGCCCAATTTCGTCACGCGCAGGAAAAATGTTTTGAAGGTCAAAAGTCTACGTCACAAAACGTAGTGTCCGGGCATTTATTTGTTTGTTATTTGTCTCCTTGAGAAATACAACAAATTTGGACATTACCAGCACTACTATGATACACATTTTGCTGTAATCCTTTGGTAAACGAATGAGTGCCAGGGGATCGCATCTTTGTGATCTTGACGGATGATCTTAACAGTCAATTTTTGGAACTTAGGGAAAGCTGATTCATGAGTATCAATACGCCATGATTTCTGTTGCGTTCCTTGTGTAAACAAATGGATGTCAGAGTACGGGGTTTTGTATAACCCTGACCTGTGACATTGAAACTGTTGCAAGTTCTTACTTGTTGAAGCTTTTTACAAGTGTGACGAAAGTGGCACCTCAAGCATCCTTATGCTACTCATTTTGTTGTATTTCCTTGGTTCACAAATAAATGTGAGGTTACGGTGTTTTTTATGGCCTTGAGCTTTGACCAAGAACATTAATTTTTGCAGATGTGACGAAAGAGGACATCGTGAACATCAATATGACACCCTTTTTGTTGCACTCTTTATGAGCGAAGAAATATCAAGGTATCCCAATTCACGTGACCTCAACCTTTAACCTTGAGAGTGAGCTACTGTAAGTTCGCTTACACAGGACATCACTGGGATAAAAGTGATACGCATTTTATTGGATATCTTAGATAAGCGATGAAATGCCAGGGTACCCACGTTTTGACCCTTCATTTACCTGAAGGGGTCAAACCAAATGACTTAGAGAAAAGAGGAGTGAAGATTCCTGAATACTTCAGTGGGTTGGACCCAGGGAAAAGACTGTTGAAAGTCTGAACTGGACCGGAATTCGAATAAGAATGCGACGCTTACTTGACGGACATGCAAATCGCGTCACTTAATATAGCATTTCCAACCATATTTGTAGGGATCACATGGATCTTACTTCAAGTCGCGCTGCCTGTCAGGTCTTGTCCTGCCTCGCCTTGTCTTGCGCTGTGCCTTGCCAGGCCAGCGACCCAACAGGACTGTTCAATTACTGGTTCTCATCAGAAAAAACGAACAATATTGAGAACCGCTCTCTTTTTTGGCCTTTTCATACAAATTTGAGTGTCTTGATGGGCGTGATGCCTTTCTTCTCGAGCCGTGACCTGACCTGGTCAGATGATGTCTGTTGGATAGCAAAGGCTGCGCCTACTGTGCCTGAAGCGTTTAGGAGGAGTGACCTTTGACCCTGCGCGTGCCCAGAGATGGTGAGTAATGGCTAGAGACATAGTCTTGCACGATTTGGCTCGGGCGTGGGAACTGCGCTGGTCGCCGACGACCAGTCAGTGTTTTTGTCTTGAGGAAAGATCTGGCAAGGCTCTCTACGGGGACAGAAGTTTCATGAAGCCACTTGAAGTTGCTTGAAGTTGATCATGATTAAGTCCTCATGCTGTTGTGTTGTTCCTCCAACTTATGCCGTGTTGAAGTTTTCCCACACGTTTGCCGAGAGCCACAGTCTGCTTACGTGTATCACAGAGGGCACAATTCGCTTTGTATATTTCATACCGAGGTGTCCTGTGCCCACACGGAAGTGGAGGCACACCTCGATTTGTTCACGTTGACGTTGTATATTACCAAGCAAGTCCCAGCATGTCATACCTTGGAGACAATTTAGTTCCAGTATGACCCTGGTCTGTACATATCGCCTTTGCTATTCACTCCTCTGTCATGAGGGTCGTGATGTCTTGCAACAGGGCTTCCAACACGCGATGTTTATTCAATGCGAACGCATGCGCAATGCAGCCAAGAACAATGAACATGTGGCGCACCGGCAAGGGAAGTGCGGCACTGCGCTGCCAGCTGATGTCAGCAGGGGTCGCCCAAGGTCGCACAAGGTCACGTCGGCCTAGAGGCCGGGGGTGACTTCGGATCGCGGAAGAGCCCGGCTGATGAAAAGACTAGTGGGCACATCATCTGGAACATCGATAGGGCGTTAGCTGCACCACGACCGTGCGGCCGATTACTTCTAGCGCGGACCTTGACCCTGACCCTTGACCCTACCCTTGGCCCTGACCCCACCATTAAAGCCTCCAGCTCCACCAGGGCCCTATTTCAGCTCCTCGGAAGTTTTTTGTGGACAATTTCTGCTCGTCATGTGACCTGTGACACAGAGGTTCGAGTTCGTGCTTTCGAGTTAGCTTATACAGAAGATTCATATTTTAGCTCATACGGAGTCCCAGCATTTATCATTGCTAAATGTCAGAGCAAGCCTCTGGATAAAGACCAGGCACTTCCACGGACACAGACATGCAGAACAGCTGGAGGTCATAAATGCCTATCACTCACACAAGCGGATCAGTGGCGTGAACGCTGATATCAACCTTTAAGGAAGAAAACGAATCGTTCATTAACACTAACGACTTAGCTAACGTGCGAGTTAGGATCATTCGACATCCGGCTGACTATGACAACCTGCTGACAGCGATGGGCAGATGCTTACCTTATCCTGCTCTGACGTCATGACGTCCGCGGCTCAGTGGTAACCGTAGCCCTTATCATCCTCGGGCTGCGTGACGTAATAGCCCCAGGGCGCGAACACGTCGTAGCCGTGACCCTTGCTGGGCCCGCGGTACGTCTGCAGCAGGGGGAGAGCTTCAGAGACCGCACACCGGCTGGCGCGGCAGAAGGGCGCGCCGGGGAGGTGCGACGGCGGGATCAGTAGCTTTTGACAGTCGTCTTCATGCGAGGCACAAAACAGAATTGGCTACCCCTACCCGCGTGAAGTGAGGTCTCTTCATCCGACATGGGTGTGTGCAAATGGCAAGCACACAAGCAGCACGTAGATACGGCACGAACCAACTACTTACAGCACAGAGCAATTCGAGCAATCCATGGAATGTTTGCTGGGTGAATTGAATAAGAACCTGCCGTAATTGGAGAAAAAAAACACGGTGTGTGTGCGATATGTGTGTTGAAATCGTTCCATTATTGGTCCATTAACGTATAAGAATTACCGAACTATATCAATTCCAATTGGTGACACCTCCAGCATTGCATTTCACTTGCGCGGCTCTCTTCCAGTGGAGCTCGTCTGTCTGTCTGTGAGCCTAGTCTAGTCTGTGAGTCTTTCTGTCTGTGAGTCTGTCAGTAGCCTAGTCTGTGCTCACGGCTGCACTCCCCTATGCATTATGTGGGTGAAAATAGCAGTTAGTCGGCGCAAAGGAAAACATGCCGCACACCGTAGCGTGGATCAAGCACTTCCGTGGTCAGCGTTTTGATGAAACTAACGTGCATATAACAGCAGGGACTTCAGGCATCGGCGTTTATTCGGATGCACATGCCTAACGTAACACCTCAATTTTAACTTAATCTGTGAAATTTCACAGCATGTGTGGCATGGCATGCCTTACCTGTGGCGTGACATGCCCCACCATGCCACACATCAGCACGCACCTGTATTTTGACGCGTCCGTAGGAGGGTTTGCCGTAGCCTTGTCGGGGCTGGATTTCCGCCACCACAAACTTGTCGCGGCCGTACGGCTGCTCCGGCTGGTAGCCGTAGACCGGCTCTGGCTCATACCCTTGCGGGAAGGCGTCGGCCGCCGCCAGCAGGCAGGCCACGGCCAGGGCCGGAACCATCAGCTGCGGGAGGACAGGAGCAACGGCGTCACAAAACTATGCTCACGGCCGCCACCGAGCTTTCGGACCTCACACCAGCACAGAAGCCACGGGCCTCACACCAGCACAGAGGCCACGGACCTCACACTAGCAGAGAGGCCATGGGCCTCACGCCGGCGCAGCGGCCACGGGCCTCACGCCTCCACAGAGCCCACGGGCCTCACACCGGCAGAGAAGCCACGGGCCTCACACTGGCACAGAGGCCACGGGTCACACTGGCACAGAGGCCACGGGCCTCACACCGCCACGAATCCTACGGATCCTCACATAGGCACGGAGGGTTCACACCGGACGGACTCCACGGGCCTCACACCGGCAGAGTCCACGGACTTCACACAGGCGCGGAGGCCACGGGCCTCGCACCTACACGCAGCCTATGGGCCTCACGCCGGCACGGGGGCCGCACACCACCACAGAGGCTACGGGCTTCACGCCGGTACAAAGACCTGGGGACGACCAGAGCCGCGGCCAGCGAACTAGCCGAATGAGACCAGCTGGGATCGACACAACGCGTGGAGTCCGGCTACCAGCTGGGCCGACACAAGGCGCGGAGTCCGCTTTAGCGGGCGGAGTCGGCTGCTGCCCAGTGGCGCCTCGCCAGCCAGTCTGCGGGGTCCCACAGGCCCGCCGCCCGGGCGAGCTCGTCGCGACGGCCGGGCACTGAGCAGCACCGAGTGGGCCGGAGCCGGCGGCCGGCGGCCGGAACTCACGGCTCGTGCAGGGCTCATCGTGCGGCGTTGCTCGGCGACTGCTCCGGCGCGGTCCGGCGTCGCCTTTATAGCGGCCCCGGCCGGCCGTTTCACCGGCTCCGGACCTGGCCGTCCGTGGGAGCGGGCGACCGAGAGCCACGCGGGAGAAGGGAACGGCACGCGGGCCTAAGGCGCGACTCCTAGTGCATTAGGGTACAGGGACGTCAAAAATCACAGGCGAAACGTTGATGGTTGCATGAATAAAATGAAGCTGGCACGCTCACTTTGCCATGCATGGAAAGGTATATTTTGCTCGACAGCAAAAGGCTTGGTAGGTATTTTTGTGGAGCCAAAATGCGGCAAGCAGTGGATATTTGGTTCCTGTGACTTGCGTTTGGTTTTGTAGGATGACATTTATTGATTTGCGGCTTTCGATGTCCGCATACCAATGCGGCAAAGATCTCGAGCATAACGTGCTAAAGTGTGGGTTCAACAAGTGTGTTGATTTTCTGCTCGTTTTCAGATGGTCGCCACAATAAGCCACAAGTGCTCTGGCTATTGCCCCTACAATAAGCAAGCAGGATTAAATACTTTGCAGCCCATACGACCTCCGTGGCAAGTCCGTGTTGAACTGATAACTGTTAGGCCAGATGTTGCGCTTCACGTTTGATTTTAAGGTGAATGCACTGCCCATACTGGCCATATGCACTGGCTATATGCAATTAGCACGCCCTCAGTGGGGAAGGTAATACGACCCCAGAAATTTTTTTCCAGAATGACTTGCATAGTTGTAGGTAAGTGAATATTTCTTTTGACATAGATAATTAGACATATTTTGCAAGATCTCCGGCCTACAGCAGGTAAAAGTCAGGACATGGCTGTCAGTAAAGACAATTCCGAGAGATTTGTTCAACGCGAAGCGACAGCATAGTGTTTGAAGAGCTCATAGAACTTCGAGAGGTTTTCTTAAGCAATTAGACTACTGCACCTGGGTTTACGACCAACTCCACTTATCTTGGTTTAAGTTTGGACGTCAGAGCAAAGTAAAAATGTAACCCCCTTGTTGCTGGAAAACTTGCTTTATGAGCCCCTTTTTTACGCTTATTACAATTCATCGGTCACAACAACATAAAAATGTCCTATGTAGGCTTCATGAAAGTGGTGGGCCATTGGTCTAAAACGAATTCGATCAACTTCTTACTTTGAAAAGCATGCTGTCCTAGAGTAGCACTCGGCGCTGATCACGACCTTCAAATACGAAAATGGTCCGGAAGGCTCCTGGTCATTTTCAAGGTCAAATAAAGTCAATGATCTGATATGAACATCAGCGACATCTCACTGATATGGGGTGTGTTGGCTAGGGCTCGTTGCGTAAGAAGGCCTGGGGCACCCAGGACAACGGTGTTGCGTTTCACCTTGCGTGACCTTATGTGACCAGAATTTTACGACCTAGGGATTTTAAGTTCACCGCAAGCGAGTTCATGAATAATCTCACTTACCCTGTGAGCTTTCTGTATCAGCTCTCTTAGTTACTGAGATATCAGTGGGATGAAATCCCTCCCCCCCCCCCCCCCGCTCCGAACGCGCCACACTAAACCGGCCTCCCGAGCGCGTGTTAATGCTTGTCCGAAGTGAACCATAATATGGTCTATCGCACAAGAGGCCATCTTATTTAGACGATGTGTGACATCTATGAACCCTCAAGGCCTGATCCAAGGGCATAATGCGATGGACGGAAGTTTAGATAGCCAGCTGTTCCCCGTAAGTGAGGCTGAACGACCTATGAAAACAATGTTATCTTTTTTATTAATTTGATCCGAACCTTTTGAATGGATGACTTTCTGGGATCAGCCCCCACGCTAAGCAGTGCTTGTTGTGTGAGCCCTGACCTCACCATCCGATCGCGCAATTCCAGGCAACGGCAGAATCTGGTGGCGAAAGCTTAACGTGCCGCACTGCTCGGCACGGTCCGTCTTGCCCTCTGACGTCAACTGACCTTTAGGGCGACCGCTGCCACCGGCCGCAGGCCATATCTGTCAAGGTCAAATAGCGAGTGCCCTAAAGCGACTCGAACCCACCCTTGCCACGCGTGGGTGGATCGGAGGGCAGGCGCTCTGATCAACTGAGCCACCGGGACTGACTGATCTTGATTGTAAAGATTTTTGAAACGATCCAATCATGAAGAAAATGCAGGTAAGACGCGCATACATAGACAGCAAAACTGCCCGCGCGGAGGCGGCACCAGGCAATTGGAATGAAGAAACTTTCTGGAAGTATGATTCGGAGATTAGTATGGGTTTGGATTTCTTTTTTGCTAGTCGATGGTATCGAAAGATTACATCTCGTACCTCCGGCTTCCCAGGACTTACGGTCTACCGCTGCACTGTCGGCACCCCAGATTGACATGTCGACAGATTGCTGGTTAGAAGATGATCTTAAGGGTGATGGAAAAAAGAAATGTCGTCAGAAAGGTCTTATGGAAAGATTACATGTGGATAAATAGTATGGCCAAAGACCATGAGGAGGAAACAGCATTAAGAGTTGATAAGTAAAGGCTCATACGGAATCAGGATCGTCAGGCAATAGTCATTTGGTGCGAATGTTACATCGTAAAACGTCTGAAAAAGTTCTTAGACAAATACTATAAAATTTCATCGGATAAGGGTTGTCAAGGATGAGATATAGCAAAAGGTCAAAAGAGATAAAGAAAGCTGCAAGCTAAAAATCGTTGAGGGTAAGATGGGTGGTGCGAAATGTCGTACTTATATGGTGTGCGATAGTATCGCACCAGGTCGCCGAGATTTAAAGAACCCATAGCAAGAGAAGTGACTGCAGCTCCACAATTAAGGTAATTAAGTGAAGCCAGCGTGGCTGCATGTCTTCAGAAAAGACAGAAACAGCATCAGGTGTGGATGCTCACGGGCTTCCTCTTCCCTTCCTGCCATTCAACTCCGCACTCAGTGAACCAAATCTGATACCTGAAATTCTTACAGTGACACGGTTTCCCTACTGGGTGTGCATCTCCAAAGTGGAGGCGCCAAGCAAAACGTCAAATGTTGGGCGTCAGTTGCATTTCCAGCCGGCGCCGACCTCTAACCTGGGCACTCGTTCAGTTCCGACCGTTCGGTTTCGTTCCGGCCGTTCGCCACCTGACCGTTCAGTTCCGTCCCCCTGTTCCTGGATGCGGAGGCGCCGTCGCTTGTCGGTCAGGCGCTGGCTACACGTTGTGCGACGCTGCGATGTCGCACCCAGGAACGAAAGTTGTCATGTGACCTTTATCTTACGGGGTCCGTGTCCAGTCATAAATTCGTCCTTGTGATATTTGTCGTGTACGATGTTCTAGCATAGGAACTCTATCCCATCCAGTCTGTATCCCTCATGTCCTGTCCTCCATACTGACCTTCATCCGGAACGGGTTTTCCCCGTACGATCCTGTGTGACAAGAGCCACTTGATCCTTCACCACTGCGATATTTATCGTGCATGATCTTTCGGCGTGGAGTATTTGTCTTGCTATCGCTTGACGTGCGATACTTTACCACATCGTTACCACACAAGTTACCACATCCGATGATGATATTTCCGCGGCGTTCTAAGTATGAAAAAAGACAGTATCAGGGAGTATGGGTGGGAAAACAGATATTTTCATACAGATATGCACGACTGTTCCAGTGTACGCTACGATGAGGTGTCGGACATTACGACGCTCTTTTGCGCATATCTAGAATATCGGAACAGTGGCGAATTTCGGGAACACGCAAAAGGCGCAGGAATGCATTCGAAACTGATAACGTATTTGCGTTCGCAGGTAAACCTGTTTTGACGAGCGATTTTGACTGACCACCAGGCTCTTCACCTGGCATTCCGACCACGTGGCTGCCAAACAGAGCTCACGGATCTGTTCTTGAAACGCTTTCGGCGTTATAAACCGAACTATCATCCGTTGTAGTGTCGTTGGCAATGAAATAGCAAGACTTAATGAAATCTGCTCCTGAACCACGTCTTCTGAGCACAGCTGAGCCTGCCCCGAGCATTTTAAAGTCGCTTCTGTTCAATACGATTGTCATTTCTGATTGCGTTTAGCATCCTGAGCCATCAATAGATAAGATAAACATGTGTTTTCCCCTTTCAGCCAAGGGCAAAACCCACATAACCATACATTCCTGCTTGCCACGAACACAACGACCGCTTAGGTGTACCGTGTACCACACTACATATGTGCTGAGACTGTTCATTCACTTCGACGTGTCCTTTCGATCCAAAAATAGATGTGTGTCGTAAAATCTAGTTTTACCTCATGTTCCCCAACAGAATGCGCAATCACAGGATTTTTGTTCAAAAATGGCGATCTGGCGATCAGTCCAAGCTTTCGAAGAAAAAAAACGACCACGAAAGAACAAACTGGAACAAATGGTGGATTCATGAAGATCAAGGGAGTCAAACTAAGCCCCGCATAAGATTCAAGGGAAATCAGCTATGGATATCGTGTGAAAACGGGTGGAAACAAAGCAGACGCTGTTCTGATGCCATCAGGTCTTCTAAAGTTTAGACGCTTCATGCTCAGTTGAACCAGTGGGCTCGAATGCAAAATGTGCAAATGTGCATTACAGGCCCGCATGAAGGATTAACGCATGCTTTGAAAGATTACGAGACCTGACAGTTCTCGGCACTGTAAAGGCACAGGAGCTCGTCTCCACAGCTCACAGGATATGGTGTGCGTGCTGCTGGTAGTCGGTGTCTCATGGCTTGCCTGCCATGGCTTGCCTGGCATGGCTCTCATGCTTGCCAACAGCTTGTTTCTGGTTCATACCCGCAAAAGGATCTCTCGTGTGACATTGCGAATAGACCTGCTCGTCCGACAAGCGCCACATGTCTTATACTCATTTCATAGCCCGTTATTCATTCCGGCCATCGCCACATGATCTATTTTGCCAACTTGTGATTTATTCAACACCTGACACGGCTCGCATATGAGATGATCCCGCACTCGCGGAAGATCAAGGGTGGTGGCACTGCACGGCCGGCGTTGTCGGTGGGGGCACTGCACGGCCGGCGGGTCTCGGTGGGGGCA